ATCATAATATGATAGTAAAATAAGGATTAATAAATACAAAAACCACTGGTTACGAAACCAGTGGTGGAACCGCATAATCCAAGGAGCCAACTCCTCGCATGTAACCTCCCCACGAATCAAACCCCAATTTCAAAAATATGTAGCCAGCAATCAGCCAAATCTCATTCTTATTAGCCTTCAATAAATAAGTATTTAATCAGTTATAATTATTTATGAATATGATTATTCAATTCTAAAATGTAAAGTATAGAAAGACAGCCATTTGGGTTTTCAAGAATAGTTAGAGGGAACTATTAAGAGTGGCGTTTTTACTTGAAAGGTTTGATTTTTAAAAATCTTAGCATTAAATTTATAATTATAATTTTTAAAATTACAGGCTAATTAGATCTAATATCTATTAACATTTTAACGACTATTCACGTAAAAATCTACATTTACACTATACAACAGCCCAACAAAAACCATAACAATAAATAATTTATTAAATCTTTTTTTAAAAAAATCAATTTTAACCAATGTATTTAATATGTAAAGTCAATGTATATTTTAATTATGCATTTATTATGTACTACTTGTTATAAATTGAGTATACATCAGCAACAACTACTATTTTATTATGGCCAAGTGGGTAATTCTTTTTTGGAAAAAATGACAAATATATCCTCCGAACTATCGTAAATGTATCCAAATATATACCCTCCATAATACTATTGGGACATCGGTATGGTGCTCCTGCCGTCCAAAAACTAGAACATATATATACCATTTATACTAACGGACATACATGTGTCATAATCTTATTCACCGACCCGACATTATTAAATATTGGACTGACGGATAAGATTGTATCACGTGTCCTTGTTTAGTCTTCCGTTAGAGTGAATTATTAGTATTTTCATGTGTAGCATCTACACAATTAAAAATACATTCACAAAATGTAGAACCATTAGGTGATATTTGACAAGAAGCTTTATAAATCAAATAAAAAGAAGCTTCTTTGCATCTTTTTAAACAATCATCATTAGCACCAGTGCAAATATTATAGCCAATATCAACTGTACATTCATCCCCTTCAACTCTCCCAATGTTAAATCCATCATCTGCATTTATTTAACAAACATATCAGAATCAAACTTTTTTATAACAATATCGTTCGTCTTATTAAAAACATCTATTATAGCATAATATAAAAAGTAGTTTCAAGAAACCACTAATAATTAGTTGTTATTAGTGAAATCAAATTAGATTAACTCAATATTTCAAAACTAAAAATATTTCACAACACTTCTTATATCAATATATGGAAAAAAAAATTAATTATGTCAACATGTGTGTCGATCGAATTCTTTAAAAGTAGAGTATTTTTAGAAAATCTAACACGAATAAGACATCGAAAGTGAAAAGTCTATGCAATTCAGAATAACAGATAATTTGGGATGGAAAGAGTAATTGTATGTACCTGATATAAAAACTATAAGGATGGCAACAAAGAGTATGTTGACGAGTTTTGCCATTTTGAAAATTTGTCAATTAAATTTACAAAACTTTTTTCTAGGATCCTTAATATATATACTATGTCATTGGACAAGAAGATGTTGAAATTTTGGTATATTAATTGTTAACTTAATTATATTACCAATTATGTAAGTGTAAAATGATTTCTTATATTACTCATTTAATAATTTACTAGTATAAGAATTCACAAATTATTTGACATAATTATTTTTCCAAACAAAGAAGGGCAAGTATTTGTTTTGTATTTTTGTTAATAGTATATATATAATCCACTCATCCATTTTTTTTCCTAAATTTTAATTAATTCATTCATTTTAATAATTTGTTCAAGTATCTATTAAAATTTGTGTTTTCTTTATTAGGTATGTATATAACATATCAAATTAGGGGGAAAATCATGGATCAATCTAAGCTATATACAATTCAATTTATAGATGAACTGAATTGGATGTATTAAAATAATCGAATTACTAGATCCATCCAAATTTAAATAAATTAAACAAATTATTTTCATGAATTAATTTTGGGTTTTCAAGAAAAGTTAGAGGGAACAATTTAAGGGTGGCGTATCTAAGATTTTAACTGGAAAGGTTTGATTTTAAAAAAAAATAGCATTAAATTTATAATTATATTTTTAAAATTATGGGCTAATTAGATCTAATATCTATTAATATTTTAACGACTATTCACGTAAAAATCTACATTTACACTATACAACAGCCCAACAAAAACCATAACAATAAATAATTTATTAAATCTTTTTTTTTTAAAATCAATTTTAACCAATGTATTTAATATGTACCGTCAATGTATATTTTAATTATGCATTTATTATGTACTAGTTGTTATAAATTGAGTATACATCAGCAACAACTACTATTTTATTATGGCTAAGCGTATAATTCTTTTTGAAAAAAATAAATAACTATACTCCGAACTATCGTAAATAATATGCATATATCCTTCATTATACTTTTGATACATTGGTGTTCCTACCGTCCAAAAACTGGAGCATATATGCCCTTTATACTAACGGACATACACGTGTCATAATCTTATCCACCGACCCGATATTTATTAAATATTAAACTGACGGATAAAATTGTGCCACGTGTCCCTATTTAGTCTTCCGTTAGAGTAAATTATTATTATTTTTATGTGTAACATCTACACAATTAAAAATACATTCACAAAATGTAGAACCATCAGGTGATATTTGACATGAAGCTTTATAAATCAAATAGAAAGAAGCTTGTTTGCACTTCTTTAAACAATCATCATTAGCACCAGTGCAAATATTATAGCCAATATCAACTGTACATTCATCCCCTTCAACTCTCCCAATCATAAATCCATCATCTGCATTTGTTTAACAAATATATGAGAGTCAAATCTTTTTATAACAATATCATTCGTCTTATTAAAAACATCTATTATAGCATAATATAAAAAGTAGTTTCAAGAAACCACTAATAATTAGTTGTTATTAGTGAAACTGAATTAGATTAACTCAATATTTCAAAACTAAAAATATTTCACAACACTTCTTATATCAATATATGGAAAAAAAATTAATTAAAATATTAATCAATATTTACATAATTTAAATACTGAAAAGCGAAAACTAATAGTTATGTTGTTTGGACTCTTCAAAAATGTCAACAGATGTGTGTCAAAATCTTTAAAAATAGAGTATTTTTAGAAAATCTGACACGAATAGGACATCGAAAGTGAAGAGTCTGTGCAACTCAGAATAACAGATAATTTGGGATTGAAAGAGTAATTGTATGTACCTGATATAAAAGCTATAAGGATGGCAACAAAGAGTATGTTGATGAGTTTTGCCGTTTTGAAAATTGGTCAATTAAATTTACAAAACTTTTTTCTAGGATCCTTAATATATATACTATATCCTTGGATAAGAAGATGTTGAAATTTTGGTATATTAATTATTAACTTAATTATATTACCAATTATGTAAGTGTAAAATGATTTCTTATATTACTCATTTAATAATTTACTAGTATAAGAACTCACAAATTATTTGACATAATTATTTTTCCAAACAAAGAAGGGCAAGTATTTGTTTTGTATTTTTTGTTAATAGTATATATATAATCCACTCATCCATTTTTTCCCCTAGATTTTAATTAATTCATTCATTTTGATAATTTGTTCAAGTATCTATGTGTTTTCTTTATTAGGTATGTATAACATATCAAATTAGGGGGGAAATCATGGCTCAATTTAAGCTATATACAATTCAATTTGTAGATGAACTGAATTGGATGTATTAAAATAATCAAATTACTAGATCCGTCCAAATTTAAATAAATTACACAAATCATTTTCATGAATTAATTTTGTTACCCCTAACCATAGCCAAAAAATATTGTCCATAAGGCTGTCTGTTGCACTTGTTGGCCACTTACTCTTTTTCTTTGATATATGTATTATTTTATTACTAATAAAAAAACAAATAATAGTCCAAATATCTGGTCAACTTATTTTGTAATGTCACTAAACTAAAACCATAAATAAGTATTTAACATAAAGTTGGTGGCTTACAAGTCATTTCTATCATAATCTGATTAATTAGTCATTATATTAATATAAAATACATTTCAAGTTGACTTTTGAAATATTTAACAAACAAAAAAAAGTCATGACTTTATATTTTCTAATTTAATCCTCAACTAAAAACCTTTATGTAAAAAAAAAAAAGTTAGACAAAGAATAATTGACACCTAGATGATCTTCTCTTCTTTGTGCAATAGAGTTTCACACCTTTTATCAAATTTTTCCAGCTATCGAGAGATTTCGGCTTGTAGAGTTGTCCTCTTTCATATGGAGTCATTGAAGCAGCACGTCGTGCTATAATTTCATTGTGTTATGAGAGGATAATTTCAAAGAAATGATAAGATATGGGTAAGAGTTTTCGCAGATATTCCTGTTATCAGGAGTTTTTTCATACCTTAGTTGAGTCTTAACGTCCCTTCAACATTTCTATTCATCTTTTCTTGTTTTCGCCACCGTAATGGACTGATTTTCCTATATATTGTCCTATTTTTCTTTCATGTTTTGATTACACTTTTTTTTGAGTCAAGGGTCTACAAAAAAACAACATTTCTACCTCACAAAGGTAAAGATAAGGTCCACGCACATCCTACCCTCCCTAAACCCCACTTATGAAATTATATTGAACACAACAATGAACTGATTATCCTAATTGACCGTGATTCGACATTAGAAGTATATTGACTTTCTTGTCCTAGGTGTTTTGGAGCACAAGATGGCACAAAACCAAACAATATTTGTGAATCAAAAGCTAGTGTTTTTGGGGAATACTAAAGAGAAATATGATTTGGTGGACTTGTTGAGATCAGAAGCAATGTTATTGGGAAAGGGAACATTTGGAAGTAGCTACAAGGCAGAATTGGAAAATGGGAAAATTGTATTTGTTAAGAGGTTAAAAGATTGTTGTTTGGTTCAAAGAGGAATTCAAGAAAAAGATTCAAGAATTGGCAAAATTGAGTAATCATCATGAGAGTTTTGCTTCCTCTAAGAGCTTATTATTATTCAAAAGATGAGAAGCTTCTTGTATTTGATCATATGCCTATGAGTAGCTTGGCTTCCCTTTTGCATAGTAAGTCATCTAATTCCCTTTATTCTCTTTGGAAAGAACTAGTAGTTTTGTATTTCAACTCATTTTTTTGGTCTAAGATAATAATTTGAATGTCGAGATCAGGGGATTTTATCCAATCCCATGTCCTATGCAGATAAACCAACTTTTATTTTACCAAGAAACACTAAGAATCTCTTTAAGATCAATGAGAAAACGTATAATACTGTCAACTATTTCACATTGGTTGAAGGAATGAAATATTGTCTGCTTATATGATTTTGGACGATTCTTATCTCATAAAGCTGTCTGAAAATTAAGCTAGATTCAACGTGCATTTTCTTCTCATGATATTGAAATCAAACTCAAAGTTTATTCTTAGTTTACTTAATATTACCCCCACCCCCACCACTTCTCTTTATGTTATTCAGACTCTAGATGTTAAAGACTAAGCGTCAGGTGGTGTGAAGTATCCCATATTGAGTAAGAGAATGAGTTATTAACTTATCCTACTAGACAATTTTTTATTGATGAGCTAACCTTTTAAAGTTGAGTTAAGTTCAAGGTATCTTTTCTTCACAAATACTGTTATTTATATATAAAATATAATCTTGAATATTTCTACCTAACTAGTAACTAGTAAAACATGCATCAATTTTATTGTTACATCTTTCTTACTACATTCTTGACAACCAATCTTGTTCCTTAATGTTCCTTAACTTACATTATTGTTGGATTAACTTGACATGTTACATAGTAAATGGAGAGGCAAAGAAATTCCAACTCACATGGGAAGTAAGGACTCGAATCGCTTATGGAGTCGCTCGTGGCCTCGAATTTCTCCATGCTCAAGGCCCTAGCATTTGTCATGGTAACATAAGGTCATCCAATGTTCTACTCACCAATTCTTTTGATGCTCGTCTCTCAGATCATGGATTATTTAGACTTTTCATGTCAAATCCTACATTATCCCTCAACTGGGGCTATCAGGCACCAGAAGTGGGATATGCCTACGACATTTCTAAAAAATCAGATGTTTACAGCTTTGGTGTCCTGTTGTTGGAAATATTGACTGGTAATGCCTCGTTAGACGCCATTGGCAAGAACAAAGGGATTGATTTGCCTAGTTGGGTTCGAATAATGTTTCAAGAAAAACCTATTATTGATGTTTTTGACAAGAATATGGTGCAACATTACCAAGAATTTGGAGATCAAATGGTTCAATTGTTAGAACTAGCAATTTGTTGTACTTTCAAGAATCCTACTAAAAGGCCCTCAATAATTGCAGTGGCTAATCAAATAAAAAGGACATGTAGTTTTAAATCATGATGATGTTGTACTTTCTAAAATAATTTAACCCATCTAATTGTAATAGTTTATAATATAATCTATGTATAATATATATACATATTAGTTATTGGCATATTATACCATGATTATCTATCAGCTAAATTATTTGTAAAAATTAAAGATTATGATTATTTTTTATGTAGTATTTGTTTGGGTTACTAAAAACTCCAAATTATAAATAATGCTGTGTTTAAACAAGTCATGGCCATTTGTGTGGGGTATACATTATCACATTTAAGGATAAAAAATAAAAAGCTTTTCGGTAATTCGATGGAGATGACTCATTTGTAGCTTATCGAAGACATGATTTTAAATAGAAAAATATAAAGGTCGAAGATTAGGGTTGAATGGTAGTATGTACTTCAGTATTTGTCTAGTTCCCTTCAAATTTATTGTTGTAATATTATTTTTGACCTATCTTATTTCTTCGATTTCAATATTTCATGTTGTTTTCTATAGTTATTGTATTATTTATTGTTGCTTCTATTCTCATTTTCATTGTTTTGCGTATGATTTTTTTTATCATTGTACTACATTTATTTATACACTTGTTTTTTAATATCTTCTTTTTTGAATTGAGAATCTATCCAAAATATCATATTTATTGTATATTAATTATTTTAATATAATCAGATAAAAATCAGCTTAAACATGTCCAAAGTCAATTACTTACATTATACGTAAAGACAAATAAAGTAATCAAGAAATGGAGACGTGCATCCCTCGAAATTTTAATTATATTTTGAGCTATAAATTCTGCATATGGAAAATTTCCAAACGAATAATTTAATGATTTTTTTTAGTTTCTTATTTTATTAACTTTAACTTTATGTATTTCTCGTTAGTGACATTTTTTACGTGAACTTATAAATGTTTAAATTTTGATAATATTTTAGTAGAGTTTGAAAAAGATATTACGACTGAAATGGATATAAAAGAACTATTTTAGTGTATATTTTGATGATGTTTTAAAATAAATGTTATGAATAAAATACATAAATTTTGGAATATGTATTGTGAATGAATTATCTTACGTGACATTATGTATTGTGAATGAATTATCTTACGTGACATTATGTATTGTGAATGAATTATCTTACGTGGGAAAAAAGTTTGTTTGCAACAAATTTTAAAGTGAGAGAAAATAAATTACAATTACAAGAAAAATGAAGAAACATAATTTTATTCATCAAGATTGTGGGTACAATTATGTTGATCCCTTGATTCTTCTCTCATAAAATATTTATCCATAATTCGAGGGCCGTTTGTGGCGTATTTCTCGACCTATGATGATTTGGACTTGATCTACATAATTTGAGGGTCGTTATTGGCGTATTTCTCAAACTAGGATGATTTGGACTTGATCTACATAATTTGAGGGCCGTTAGTGGCGTATTTGTCAAACTAAGATGATTTGGACTTGATCTACATAATTCAAGGATCGTTAGTGACGTATTTCTTGAATTAATATGATTTGGATTTGATCTCTTTATGAATATTTCATGAGTTTGTGGAATATTTGAGATATTCGAGATCTTGATCTCTTTATGAATATTCCATGAATTTGTGGTGAAATTTTTGAGATTTCGATCTCTTTATGGAATTTTCGAGATGTCTTTTAAGAGAATATAGTATCCTTTTTATAGATATGAACTAGGATTTATGGTTGAGTAGCCTCCAAGAATACTAATTGAAATTGAACAACTTGTAGAATCCAAACGTGAATTGATCACGTCTTGTAGAATCCCACAAAATTTCAATATCTAGAAAGTTATTTTACTCTTGATGTCTTTTATGAATTCAGGAATAGTTTGATCTATGTGATAAAAGAGATATTCGTATTTCAATATTATATTTGGAATTGTATTTATAATATAAATTTAGTTTTACTTGAAGTTACTTTATGCCACTTCTTAAATAAAATAATTAATTCATAAATTATAATCTCAAGATAATTTAATTTGTATATCATATGATCTCCGAACCACATATTTTGTCTAGCTTCCAATCTACTTTTCTCTCTGAGATGTCTTCTTCACTTGTCAAGCAAGAAATAGAGTTTCGTCTTCCTTCTATGACTATGAACTTTTGTCCCAAGAATTGATTCATTCAAAGACAAAAAAAGACAATTTCAAAAGCAAAGACATAAATAGAAATAGGATTACTATTGACTTGGAAGCAACTTGATTCATTGTGATTAAAACCCGATTTTCTTGTGACTCGCTTACTTGCTTATGTTATACCTCTTCCTTTACTAATTCCGCCTAAAAATTCCCGTGTTTTATAGAACATTCCATCCAAACACGCCTTAATTTTAAAAAAAAATCCAAAATCAGATTTCTTTATAATAAAAAAAAATAAAAATTCTTATTTTCCACTTTCTCATTGTTTTTCTTCTTCTTCCCAATTTTCAACTTTCAAGAAAACCTAAGCTTTTTCCTTAGATTTCTCAGCTCTCTAAAGAGATCTAAGGGGAAAAAAAAATCCCTTTTTTTCACTTTCTTGACATATACAAACACAAATTAAGAAACCCCATATAGATAAAGATTGAATTTTTTCAAGATTTTGATTTGATTTGATTGATTGATAGGTTTTAGCAAAAGGGTGTTCTTGAAAAATGGGTGATATGAAGGATAAGATGAAGGGGTTCATGAAAAAGGTCTCTTTTTCTTCTTCAGGTAAGTTTAAAGGCCAAGGTAGAGTATTGGGTAGTTCTTCTTCTTCTTCAGGGCCACCCCCAAATCATGTTAATAATTTGTCATCACAAAATTTACCTTCAAAGCAAAATACAAAATCTTTGGCTCAAAAACCAAGTGATTCTGATCAAAGAATTGAGAATAAATGTGTTAATCATGTTAATAAGAGTGAATTAAAGGATGGCTTTGATCCATATGGTGAATTAGTCACTTCTGGTAAGAGGAATCCAAAAGGGTATTCATTAAATGTTTTTGAATGTCCTGTTTGTTGTACTGTTTTTGGTTCTGAAGAAGAGGTTTCAAGTCATATTGATAAATGTTTAGCCTCTGAAGTGAGTGATTTGGGAGTTGAAAGTAAAGATGAAGAAGTTAAGAGTGGAGTGGAAGAATGTGTTAGTGTGTATGTTTCAGGAAAGCCATCAGATGGATCAGTGGAGGTTGTTGTAAAGTTGTTAAAGAATATAGGGAAGGAACCAACAAATGCGAAGTTTAGGAAGATACGGATGGGGAATCCGAAGATAAAGGAGGCTATAGGTGATGTTGTAGGAGGAGTGGAGCTATTGGAATTTGTTGGATTTGAGTTGAAAGAAGAAGGTGGGGAAATTTGGGGTGTGATGGATGTTCCTTCTGAAGAACAACTTGTTAAACTTAAGAATGTAGTTTCACTTTTGGAACCAAAGAAGGTTGAAGAGTTGGCATCAGCATCCCAAGTTAAGGCGGCGAGTGAACCAGTTGAGCCGAAGAAGATTGATAGACAGGTAGAATTCGTTCGGTCGTTTAGTTTCCATGTGCTCATCAATGCCTTAGTTTACTAGTGCTTGAATGCTTAATTTCTTTATTATGACTGTATATTACTTTTCCTGATGTTTCAGCTATAAAATTTGCTTGGCATTCAATTATTTCTCTTAGTTGAACATGATGTAGCACCTAGGCTTCCCAATAAGTAAAGTCCTTTCTCATGAGAATTGATGAATGATGTTGTCATCCTGATATAGTATTTTTGTCCGTAACTTCTTAAAACATTAAAGGCTACTATTGCTTCTGGCCTGGTGTATTGATCAACTGGACATAATATGTTTTGAGAGAATGCGGATTGATGCTTAAAACTAGAATAACACTTGAAATAGGTGCAGAAATAACACTATTATTCGATAAGTTGGTGGAGTAACAATGTTTTTATATGCTTTCTTACAAATTCGGAAACAACTTGTCTATCTCTACGAGGGGTAAGGTATGCGTACACTCTACTCTCCCTAGGCCCCACTTGTGGGATTACACTGGGTTTGTTGTTTCTTTCTTACATGAACTGTTGGATTTGTTGACTCCATAATTTTTTATGCTTTATTCATAAATTAACACTCATGATACATGTTCCTCTGAGACACAGATTGCCAAACGTGTATGGAAGAGATGAAACGATAACAATATGTTAATTAGGTTATTGTTTCGTGTTAACATGTGTTTGCTTTAGAAAGGGACCCGAGCATCTAACTGGTGCTTTTCATTTATCGGTCCTTCTCATGGTTATCAGGATTTAGGAAGGAGAGCTATAGAGTGGTTGTACGGAAAACTGACATACTTTTGGTCTGAGTGAGAACTGTAATAAAATGACAATCTGATTAGCTTCTCATGGTTATCAGGATTTATTACAGTGACTGCTTACTTTACTTTCCTTTTTCAATTCTGATTAGCTTGTGTTTTTTAGGCTTTTTGTTTAAGAAGTGGGCTCACTAGCTAGCCCACATACACTATCAATTTTATTATAAAATGTTTGACTGAATGGGTCTTTGAAAAAAAAAAAAAAAAAGTAATAAAATGACATTCATAAGGTTCTTTTGAAGGTGAATTCAGTATAGGAGTGTCACTAAAAACATTGCCTCTATATGTATCCTGACCGATCAGTTTGGTTTGTTTTCTATGTCATAGTTCGTTACATGCAGAGAAATCCGTAGGCAGAAAGAAATTAACATTTGCTAAGCTAGCTGTCCTAAGCATATAATTCTTTCGTTTAGATTGACAACTATAACATGAAATCACTCATTTCTTGTTTCTGTTCGCTGAAAAGCTTTAATCCTGGGCAATTACTTTGGTCAGGCTTCTTCACTAGAGATATTACTCAACCAAATGAATTGATGAACCTTTTCTCTAACACTATTACTAGTATCTCAGCATGTCAGATACCACCTGTTGTGTTGTACTTTTCTAATAATTTTCAATTCACCTACTGTGTATCTATCCTGTGAACACCGACCTCACTCTTTGATTTTACTAAAATATTTCTCTTAGACATCTAAAACAAAATCTTC